TGAATCTTTTTGCCAAAATAGGAGATTAAATCAAACAACAATATTTTAACTTGACATTTTTTTCTAGAGCATCATCACCCCCATCACCCCCACCCCCAATATCACACATTTGAAAGCTTATTCCTACATTTCAGTCACTTCCCAAAAGTTTTCATGTAAAGAGGAGTATACTGTGTACATGCCATGAGTCAGCACATAATATAATGTCCTCTTATGAAGCGCCGACGTTGTAAAAAGACTTTAACCTGAACATATTAGATCCTCAAGACCAGTGGCATTCTGAACACTGGTTATCAGAGACATTTTAATAAAAATACGTTTTATTCGTTAGCTCCTTTCAAGACACCAAAAGACACTTTACAAAATATGGTAAATGGACTGTACTTCTATAGCGCCTTTCTATCTTATCAAGATACTCAAAGCGCTTTACAACACAATCTGTGCCCTCATTTACTCATTTATACAGCACTCTACTACGTCTATACAACGACTAATCAGTGCTTTAGATCACATTCATACACCGATGGGACACACATTAGAGTCATCAGTCCGGGGACACTTCAACACGTGAATGCTGGTGGAATCGAAACACCGGTACTTCGGTTTCCTCCCACAGATCAAAAACATGCATGTTTGGCTCATTGGTAACTATAAATTGTCCCTAGGTATGAGTGAGAGTTTGAACGGTTGTTTGTCTCTACGTGGCTTCGACGGATTTGTGACCTGCCCAGGGTGTATCCCGCCTCTCACACAGTGATAGCTGGATATGGACACCAATGACCCCCATGACCCGAAAAGGAAGAAGTGGGTAAAGACAATAGATGGATGATTTTAAAGTGGTAGCAATCTCCTTTGGTTGCTCAAACTAGCCATTAGGTCATTTATCCAGTCAGGACAAATGATCTGAGCTGATAACCCAGTTTTATTGAGTTAAAACTACCCAGAGCTGGCTGGGTTAAAATTTGACCCAGCATTGGGTGACAACTGTTCTTTTTTAACCCAACTATTTTCAGTGTGCACATTTACCCTAAAATAACAAAAGTAGCTCTCAGCTTGTTCAATATTTGCTGGTAAGACTTTTAAAGCATCGTTGAAGCATCACTGAAGAGCCACTGAAATGGAAGTAAGAATCATTTGACGTCATGTCCAGCGTGTTGTTTTATTTTATTTAATGTTTTTCTATGCGTTGTAATGTCATCTTCTACTTTTTAATTGTTGAGTGTGCTACTCTGTACTACTAATTCCTCTTTGGGAAAAATAAACATTACCATGAACTTTGACAAATGAGAAACTTGGCAAAAAGTGCAATAAAAAAAGAGAGTCCAAAGCTAGACAACCACAAACGTGAATGTTTTAACAAAGAGTTGAAACATTTTTTGAAAACGTTCAAAGTCTTGCAAAGTGGAGTGTACCAAATCTCTTTAAATAGTTATCTTAACATTTAATAAGAGCAAAATAAATGTCCATAAAGAAGAATGAAACACTTGTTAATGTTTCAAAGTTTGCATTGCTGAGGTAACATAACTATAAGTTCAAATGGTTGTTGATACAGTTACAATAAAGATAAGGTGATATTAACAATAGCTTACAAATAAATGACCAACAACGTGATGCATAAATGCTGTAACGAGTCTTCAGTTCATAGTGAAAAAACACAAAATGCACTGGAGTGACATTATCTCATATTAGATAACTTAGAAAGGAATTTTTTGAGGAAAAACAAATGCTTATACAGTACATGTCCAGCAACTAAAGTAAAATATTAAATAAATAAATAAAAAATACATATTTTTTGTTTTTTTGTTATTTTTAAAAGATGTTATTGGCAAACCGGAATCAAACATCATGTCTTGTGGGGACAGGTTTAATCTTTGTGAAGCAACTATTGTTATTTAATCTTATGCAAATAGAAAACAAATTTTTAGCTTGTGCAATTAAGTTATTACATTATGCGAGTATGTTTCAGCTTGCATAAACAAGTTTGTTTTCTTCTGTTGTTTGAAAGGGTTCCTATTTCACGGGAAGAGTGTGTAGAAATATGATCACTGGACAAAACTAGCTGCACTGTTGTGAACATCCAAACTCTAATAAGAAAACCCATTTGGTTGTTTGAAACCTGACCAGGTGGTTTATACAACTAAAAGTTAGTTTTTATTCTCAAAAAATTAGTGAAGCGTAAACTTTCAATTCTTTAAAATCAGTGAACCTACACGGGATTGAAAGTGAGAACTAAAAGTGGAAATGCAACTTTCACTGCGTGACTGTCCAAGTTTAAAAACAGCAGAGATCCTTGAAATATTCATTAATAACCTCAAACCTAATGTCAAACATTTCAAATAGCATGAAAAAAAGACAACTTGGGGTTGATGCAAATGCATTGCTTTTTGCCATCCATCCACTTTCTTCGTCCACTTTTCCTTTTTCTGGTTCGTGTTGAGCTGGTTCTCATATCCAGCGGTCAGTGTGGGGGTACTTCCTGGACAAGTCCATCACAGGGACACACGGAGACAAACAGCCATTCACACTCTCACTCACACCTTGGAGCAAATTAGAGTTAGAAATTAATGTAACTTGCATATTTTTGGTGAGTGGGAGGAAACTTGAGTGCATTGCTTTCAGAACAAGTTAAACATTACCAACTGTAAACAGCTTTAAACCACAGCCACATTGGCTCGTGCTTTAAAGTAATGCACATTTGAAAAGTCATTTCAAGCTATCAAACACATAATAACCCATAAATGCTCAGCTCTCTGTCCATGGCTCATGAATCAACACGTCAGACAGACTGATCAAGGTATTGTTGCACATATGTTGACTGGAAATGGTTAAATATTACTCACCTAAAGCAAGAAGCAGCAGGGCTAATGTGAAAAGACCCATTTTGGCAAATGTATGGAAGTTGCACATTCAAATAAAAAAACTGTGCACTTAAAATCAAAGTTTCTCTCTAAAACGTTTAAAAAAAGAAAAAGCAGCATAGAACGTTCAACAGAAAACAGAACAACGGAGAAGGGGTTTCTGTTTCTCTGAGTGTGATCCCTGGAAACAAATCACCTGTGAGTGGCTTTTAACAGTGTGCAGCCTCCGTTTTGCTTCTGCTTTTCTTTTTTTTTTCTGTAGCTGATTGTGATTGGTCGGAAAGGTTTTGGTGTCTCTTGAGAGGAGACAGGGGAGGAGAGAGGAGAAACTGGCACCCGTGGATGAGTGGAGGTGGTTGAAGTGGCTCAGCCCAAGTAAAAATAGATGGCGGGAAAAAACCTGTTGGTCTGTGCTCATGTGATTTATGGGTATAAAACAATGTGTCAGAGCTCTGAAGATAAATAGGAACGTATGATTAAACGGGTTGCACATTAAGCACTTTGGTAACAGTTTCTGTTTTAAATGTGCTCTATAAATAAATCTGACTTGACTTGACTTGACTTATTTACTACAACTAAGGTTTGAATTAACTATGGTGGTCCTAAAGAGTCTAAAATATTCTGCTAATAAATTAGACAATTAGGTATTTTATTAGGGTCATTCTCAAGCAAAAATCCAAGGGCTTTACAATAAAGGAATATGATGCATTACTAACAAATGCATTAAAATTTAAAGGAGACAATGCAATAAAATAAAGTAAAAAAAAGTCAAAGTTTCTTTATTCGTTATCCGCACCATATGTGGTACATGTGGTGGAATGAAACTGTGTACACAGGGTCCCAGTTACATCCAACAAAAGTATAAATTGTAAAAGAAAAACATTAATAAGATCTAAGATATGAACTAAGACATAGGCTAAACTAAGAGTACGCTAAGCACTAATAGTAGAAAAACAATACACTGAACAGCAGCACGAACATGAGTCTGTGTGAGCAGATGAGTACGAATGAACACAGCAGCATGAAATAAATCAGCAGCATAAGATCAGCAACATGGATAGTCAGCAGCACACACTAACAATCAAGTGGCATTAAACATAAACATACATGCTAGAAAAAAAACATCCTTTTTAGCTTCTTTTCAAATTAACTATTTATCACTGAAGTAACCATCCATCTTACTTTTAAATGTGTCTGAAGTGCTTATAATGTCATATAAATTGCAATGTTTCCCCTGAATGTACATACAAGTCAAATTAAAGATCTTGCATGCCTTGAAGTGTTGCATATTGCCCTCCACCTTTCATGCTAGAATTTTTATTTAAAACCATCATGATGAGAATTAAGTTATAGTTCTTTTGATCAAATGAGCAATTTCAGATAGTAACAAAGTTCATGCTCAATAATCCAGGTATTTTGCTTTGTGCGTTACCTGTTGTTCTGTCTGTACAGCACTTTGGTTGGCCTTGTCGCTGTTTTAAGTGCTCTATAAATAAAATGGTATGGTATGGTATGGTATGGTATGGTATGGTATGGTATGGTATGGTATGGTATGGTATGGTATGTATACAATCCAACATTTTTCAGTCAGGTCATCTGGACAGTTTCAGAAGACAGACAGAAGAGGGCCAGCAATGGAGGAGGGGGTGTGACAAAGAGACCATCTTAGCACCAACATAACTGGTTTGTTCCACTTTGGAGTAAGTTGTCGGGGAAGAATCAGTTTTGTGTTGTGTGTTTCCTTGACTGATGAAGCCTTCCGGATCGAAGGCGAAACGTTTCAGCAAGAAAAAAAAAAACTGTCCTGATGACCTGACTGAAAAATGTTGACTTTCAGATAGTATTCAGATGAACAAGTCTCTCTTGTAAATGGTAAATGGACTGTACTTATAGCATCTTTCTATCTTATCAAGACACTCAAAGCTCTTTACACTACAATCTGTGTCCTCATACCCATTCATACAGCACTCTATTATTTCTATACAAAGATAATCAGAGCTTTACACTGATGAGACACACATCGGAGGCAATGAGGGGTTCATGTCTTGCCCAGGGACACTTCAGCATGTGACTGCTGGTGGAATCTAACCCCCAACTCTTGCAATGGAGGACGACTGCTCTAACAACTCAGCCACAGCCGCCCCCAATGAAGAACGCTTCACGAGTCTGCGTGTCATCTTTGCACCAGGGGCCATGTTAATCTTCTCTGTATCATCCCAGTTTTCATGATACCGAAACAAATGAGTCCTCATGACTCAATGAGACTAACCAGTATAAGTAAAGCTTGAATGAATTGTGAGATTTTGCATAATCTGTTAGAACTTCTGGCATGTGTTGGGAATGATGCTCAGCTACTACCCCACCAACTCTTAACGTTAAATGTGTAAATTAGCTGAGTTATAGCCATTATGTGTTTGCTTATCTTGCTTAACTGTGATGACCATTTGGAAAGGGAGTTTTCTACTAAACTTAATCAGTTGTTGATGCAGATCCAATTTTTTTTTTTTATCTAATGGTTTCATTGAAATTCATCCAGTGGATGGATCATGAACTATTTTGCTAACAGACAAACACTGATATGGGCAAAACATTACCACCCTTTTTGCCTTTGCTGGTGGGCAATAACAAAAGTATCTATAATTAAAGTAAATTCAATTAAATGTTCAACAGTGTCCTAAACCATCCATCCATCCATCCATCCATTATCTTTACCCGCTTAATCCATTTTGGGTCACGGGGGTCGCTGGTGCCCATGTCCAGCAATCACTGTGCGAGGGGCGGGGTACACCCTGGACGGGTCGCAAGTCCATCACAGGGACACATAGAGACGCCTGTAAATATGCTCACTTGTAAATAAAATCACTCACCTTTTGCACATCTGGCTCTGCCTCTTCCCCAGTCTGCTAATTTGATCAATAACAACTAAAATCATCTTAATTCGATGGTTATATTTGATCAAAATTGTGTATATGCAAAATGTTTATCTCTTCTTCTTAAGGGTCATGTCTTTTCCTTTGTCCTAAAATGTAAAAATACTGATAAATGTCAACAATTTTCTTTGGATGTTTAATTTTAGAAAGTAACAAACTATTGAATTCAGAATTTGTCACTAAACTTAATAAAGAGTTATATTAGATCTTTTATAAATATTTTTCTATGTTCTTGTTGGGTTTGCAGGTGTGGACACAATTTATTGATTGTAAAAAAAAAAGAAAGAAAAAAAAAGTGGAGCACTTTTTCTTTCTTTTTTTTTATTTTAATTTTATTTTTTATAAATGTTGCAGGCCAGAGGGCTAAATATGCAATTTGTAGTGCAAAGAAATAATAATAATAATAAAAAAAAAACACTGAATAACAATTTATACAATATAGTTTTATTCAAGTAACAGTTTCTTTTCTCTTTTGTTTGTAGCTTAAAGAAGACGGGTTGAGTTTCGTCTTTTGAAATAAGCACGTTAAGCTGTTCCCAGGTGACTCTCCATGGAGCTGTTACTTCATTCAATTCTTCTTTCTCCCTTAAATACCACCTTCAAGCAGGGACTCGCTGCACTTCAGGAATTCCCTCCTCACATGAAAGCAATACTTTTCTACACAAGCATGTCTCATCCTCCCAAGCCCCCTTACCCAACACTCCCAGCCCACCACCAGCAATAATCACAGAAAAAATGCTTAAGAAGAACTCAGAACTGTGCAGAGCAAGCTCAAACCTTCAATCCATATGGCCTTAAGGGATCTTGCTAATGCCCTGCTACCAGACACTTCAGGACATCCACAAACCTTCTCTTTGTCCATGCTCTGACTTGCAAGACCAGTTTTGAAGATAAAAGGAGGTCCTACTCAATTATTGTATTATTAGCCTCTGAAAACATGGCCTATATTTGTGTCTTCAGTGGTCAAACTGTGAACCCAGGGTGCTTTTTGTTGTCAGTAGCGCTTTTGAGTAGCACAGTTCATCATATCATACTGCAACAACAGGATCTTGTCAGCAACAGTGTTTCCAGTAAACTATCTTAAATGGATTATTGTGGTGTACACATGATGTATGTATGTATGTATGTATGTATGTATGTATGGATGTATGTATGTATGTATGGATGGATGGGTATTTATAGACACTTGTGCAGCAGTTCATTTACCTCAGAAGTCGGAGCTCGTATTTGAGAATGACGTCAGACCCAACTTTACCGGGTTTTTGTTGCAACTCTGAAAACAAGGATTTGCTGGTGGTTGTGTTCAGTAACCAGAATAACTACTATTAGAAATACAACCCTGTAATTCTTCTGCATTCTGTCCATTTAAACAAATGGCTGCTAACGCCGCCGCCGATGGTTGAATGGGACTGGATTACTGAGATGTAACCTAGATGTTCAAATAAAAAGGTCATTACTGCAGCTGTCATAACTTTATGCACAGGTTCTTTGAAAAAAATCTGACATCTGAGTACAAAAGATATGCAGGTAGTCTCACTGAGTCATGAGGACTCATTTTCAAGAGAGACCTGTTTGGGAGCAGATGGTTGGGGTTAAGGGCCTTGCTCAATGGCCTAGATTGAGGCAAATGAGGGTGGAGGCAGCTGTGGGTGTTTCACCTTTTCCACCCACATAATGATGTCAGTTCGGGAAGTCGAGCCAGAAACCTTCCGATCACAGGCTAACCTTCTCTAACCTCTGCACCACCACTCTCCAAAACTGCAGCCTTACTTTATACAGGTGTGACTGTGGTTACAGCAAAGAGATGGTGGACAGAGTTACCTTCTCTTCTCATCAGATCTTATTACCGTAGTTCAAAAATTTCAAGAACCATTAAAGCCTCTTCAAGAGAATGCTTCATCCCCAGCCAAACTGTTTCCATTTACTTGTTGCAAACAGAAGGAGGAATGATACCGCTGGGGGAAAGACAAATAAAAACCTATTTCAAAAAGCACTCAAGTCAATACAGTAAATTTGTTACAGACATTTCTACCAGATCTCGTGTATTAATAATAATTTTCATTACACTATTTATTTCCTATTTGTTGCTGTAGAACAGCCTGGTATAACAAAACAGGACAAAATACAATATCAAAACTTACTTACTGATATCCTGATGCATGCTCAATAATCCAGGTAGTTCTTGAGCATGTGATCAGCTGGTTTTGGTTGTCAGCAGCAAAACTGGTTGATCCACTCTGAGAAGGTGCTATTTAAGAGACTGAGCTGAATACAGCACCTCAGACTGAGGAAGTCTCTCGGATGAGAGACGAAACGTTTCTACATTTTTTTTGTTGTTTTGCTTTGTTTTGTTTTTTTGAATGTCCAGAGGACCAGATTTAACTTTTTTAGATTACTTACTGATAGTTTTCCAGTAAACTACATATGAAACATCATAACTGTGAATGTTGTACAATTCTACTCCTAAGTGATGTTACTACAACTTTTAATAAAATATACACTGAATAAAATGTATAAATGCAACACTTTGCGGATGCTGGATGTGGAGGCTCTGGGCTGGTGTGGTTTCACATGGTCTCTGGTTGTGAGGCCAGTTGGATGCACTGCAAACTTCTCTGAAACACCTTTGGAGACGGTTTATGGCAGAGAAATTAACATTTAGTTCACAGGCAACAGCTCTGGTGGACATTCCTGCAGTCAGCATGCCAATTTCACGCACCCTTAAAACTTGCATCTGTGGTGTTGCACTGTGTGATAAGTGTTTATTTTACAGTGACCTTTTATTGTGGTCAGCCTAAGGCACACTCATCAGCATCTTGATATGACACACCTGTGATGTGGATGGATTATCTCGGCTCACAAACACAGATTTACACAAATGTGTGAACAATGAAGAGAAAAAGGCCTGTTTTGTAAAACGTCTTAGATCTTTGAGTTCATTTCATAAAAAATGGGAGCAAAAGCAAAAGTGCTGCGTTTATATTTTTGTTCAGTGTATTTTCTTCAATACAGTTCCATAACATCTTGTAGAAATACATACAAACAGCTGTGACCATGAGCACATTTTTGCATGTAACTTATGTGCATCTGGTGCTTGTTGTGAACAGTTTATGTTGTATGACTAAGGCTGCCCAAATATTCAGATGTAGAAAAAATGGGCAAGGGTTGGGGATGTGAACGGGCACTGCCTGCTCTCTGGGAAGGGCGTGGTGGGTCTGTGCCGGTCGCCGCCTCATCCCCCCATTTTGTCTGTGTCTGTGTGCCTGTTTATGTCTCGGGTTGGGTTTTAGGTGGTCCGCTCTCTTGGTCTACTTCCCAAGATGTGCCCCCCCGCTGCCGGTGCATTGGTGGCTCTTGGCATCTGGGGCTGAGTGGTGGGGTGTGTGCGGGCCCACCCTGGTGGCTGCCTGCTGGGGCCTGGGTGCCCTGGCTCTGTTGGGCCTCTGTTGGGGGGTGGTATGACCTCGGGGCTCGCTGTCCATGGCCGGATCCACTCTGGAGGGGCGGGTTGTCTGCGGGGCCTGTGGACTCGTCGCTGTAGCCTCCTGGAGTTTCTGAATTGTGATTGCTGTGGATCACCCGGGGCTTCCCTTTGCTTCTCTCTTTGGGGGGTGCCGGTGTCCCTGTTGGGGGACTCCCAGTGTTCTGGGCTTGGGGACCGCTGTGTGTCAGTGGCTCCGGTCTTCCCTGTGTTACAATCGTGTCCTATGGGGACGGGTCTGTGGGTCCCCACATCCACTATTGAACATTTTTATGGAGAAACCTTCTAGTGATATGCTCACCAGCTCACACAGGTGTTTAGATCCAGGTGTTTATCAGATGCACACTCAGTTGGGTTGTGGTGGCCACTAAATATATCTTGTATTACCATGCACTGTATAAAATACTTTCTAATGATGTTATAAGTATCATTATATATGTTAAAAAGAAACGTTTCGCCCCTCATCCAAGAGGCTTCGTCAGTCTGAGGCCTAGCCATCTGGTATTACCCAGAAGCCACCCTGACTCTTGTGTTTCAAGCCTGCCTCAGATACCCCTGAAGTCTGGCCTTTTCACTAATGGTTTCAAAAACACAAAGTTAAAAAACACGTTTCGCCCCTCTTGGATGAGGGGCGAAACGTTTCTTTTTAACAAAAAAAACGAAGTCCAGATGACATGATTCAACCTTTTTTGTTGTTATATACCTGGATGACTGAGAAAACAAACTTTGTGCATTATATATGTTGTTTGTTGTTGAGGTTTCTCGGTTTTGTCTTGTTTTTTTTTCTTTCCGCAGGTCTAGAGGCAGACTTCAATGATGTTGATTTGTGTTCTCT